ATTTTGGATCTGCTAAATTGGCAAGAAAATGACAATTAACAATTGCCTTCTTGAACCTCTTTAAAATATCATCTTTGTACAAAGCCAATTTTTCATTATGTATGAGGCTTTGCCAAATCTCAACTGCTTCAGACAAAGTTGTATCGTCTGCTTGCAACTACAGTAAACACAATAATTTTGCTAATAATTAGGTAAATAAAGTTAATGGTGACATTGTTCCTAATATAAGTGGTTTTAATATACTTAATATAATTAAATTTAATAATTTTAATTAATAACTAATTTTATTAACCTTATCTAATGCAACACCAACAATTTTCAGTTGTGCATATAAATTTATTGCTTCTCTCTGTATTGATAGATTGTCAATTAGGCTTCCATTCAAAGGATCAATGGATTCCATATGCTCACCTCTAATGTCAACGTACAGAGAATGATTAGATATGTATGTCTGTAAACAATCTAGTTGGGAGTTCCAGCAAGTATCATTAGGTAGCTGTGGCATCAGTCCACCTTTTTCCAATAACCAACCCTATAATAAATTTATTTAAGAAAATTTAACAAAGAAATATTAAAAAATAATTTTGTTAAAATAAAGCTAGGATCTCTTTTGCCATCATTATCATTAGGCTTATATCATTAACACAGCTGTGTTATTTCATAGTATTGTATTACAGAATATGATCAATAAGTAAAGAATTTAATACATACATGTGGTTGGTGATGATTACGAAAATATTTATGAATTGCTATATATATATATATATATATATATATATATATATATATATATATTTATATATATATATATATATATGTATATATATGAGGCCTTATATATATATATATATATATATATATATATATATATATATATATATATATATATATATATATATATATATATATATATATATATATATATATATATATATATATATATATATATATATATATATATATATATATATATATATATGTATATATATATATATAAATGTATATGTATATAGTATATATATATTAAATAAAGCAGTTAAACATCTAACACTTACATCTTTATTGAACGTTTCTTTAGCAATTTTAATTGCATCCTTAGCAGCTTGAGCGCAATATTCTGCTGTTTTTGATTAGCTTCCAGTGTCAATTGCAGAAATGAGATAAGGTTTATTTTTACTATGGATTCTATGAGCAATTATAGGATCATTACTGAATGTACTCCAACCATCTTGAATTAGGGTAACAGCACTATCATCAGCAAGATCATTTTTCATTAAATTGATTACACCTTCATTTATCTTTACTAAGAGTTCTGAAGATATCTGTTTTCTATTTGGTGGCTCATATCCAGGTCTAAGTTTTTTAAGCAGCTTGGTAAATTCAAGATTTTCTACTACGTTGAATGGTATATTTGCTGAAAAGAAAAATCTTGCAACTTGTAAATCCAGTTCATCCCTCTGATTACTTGTTGTTGTAGTAACAAATTTAGAAATAGATGTTTGCTGTTGCATCGTCATTGCAGTTGACTGAACAATTGACGAATAAAAAGAATCACTAATAAAGCTTAAGCCTCCTTGCTCATTATCATCAGACAGACTAGACTTATTTGATGCTGCAGATGTAGATGGCCTTGACTCTAAAACTGATATATCACTTAACACTTCAGCGGAATTATTATTGCTTCGTTTATTCTTTCTTCTGCATTTATCCGAATGGATCTTAACTCTTTCTATTTTTTTAATTATGCTCACTTTGCAATAATTACATATTACTCTATTTGGTTGATCACTTAATATGGTCACTTCATTCCACTCACTAGCCTTATTTCTTCCCCCTGAATGATACTTTGGCATGTTGAAGACGTATAATCTACTTATATTTTAAATTTAACTAAAAAGATAACTCTATTTAAAAATAGATTTATATTATAAAAAAATGCAATCTGATTATTAATAAAGCTTTTGTATAAGAAAATATACCTGTAAAAAATGAAAAATACCTTTATTATATTATAAACTATAAATTAATCAAACTTTGATTACTAAAGATTTATACCAAACTTTAGCAAAAACCCATCAAAAACCCACCCAAAAACCCAGCTGGGTTGGGTTTTTGGTCAAAAACCCGGGTTTTTGCCAACCCTGATTAATTCCCTTTGCAGAAGATACTATTCTGAAATTCATTAATAACTGATGTTACATTACTGACGTAATGCTCTAACTCAGAATCATATTTGTTTAAAATTTGTTGAGAATCATAGTTGTTTAAAAACATGCTAATTTAGTCAAGTTTTATTTTATTTTTTAATAAAATTTACTATTAATAAAATTGATATATTAATTTTATCAATAATAAAATCAAAATATTATGTGATTTCAGTAAACCTTGGGGTGCAGCCTGTAGGCGCCAAAATAAAAAGGCGCTTAAATGTCAAAGATTTTTTTTTTGTTAAACTTGAAATAAAAATTCTAATAACAAAATGTAACTATTTGGTTGCTTTAACTTTAATTTTAAAATTTGGTAAATATTTGTGTGACTTCTTTATAAATACTTCGAGAGTAAATGCCGTAAAATGCTGTCACATTGATCAAAAATAATTACCTAAACAACCCAAAAAATAAAAATCCAATTTTGTATTCTTATTCTCTTTCCACTCTAATCACAGTTTCATAATATAAACTTTAGTTAGTTAATAAGCAAATAGATTTTAAATCAAACAAGGTGTGATTTCTTTTGCCAAAAATTTTCTCAATAACTTTATTTTTTTTTGTGATAGTTTGAACTTTGAAATAATGTTTTTTTTTTATTCCTGGTAACGATTTTGATGAAAAAATTAATTTTGACAACCCAATCTCTTCATAGCATTTTTTAATTTCATCAACATCAACCAAAATAACCTTGACATCCATATTTTCTACTGCTTTTGCAAATTGGGATTTTGCTGTTACTTCGATATTTTGAGCCAAAATTCTGAATTATATTACAAATCTTTTAACAAATCCTTTAATTCAGTCAACAACAGATTTGCCGTGCATAGATGCAAAAAATCCCATTTAATTTTCATCTTGTATTGTTTTTGTAACATTTTTAAAAACTCCATTATATACTTATTTTTGAACTGAGATGTTGCATTATTACTCCAAAATGTACTTGTTGGACTGTTTCTGGCAGCTGCTCCATAATGATATCAATAAACAGAATCACGATTTCTTTTGAATGTTTTTGATGGTCCAATGCAATTGCAAGTGACTGCAAATGACACCGATGATATACAACTGAGGTGAAGATTGAAATTAGAGTCTGGCCGTAATGAGCACTTTGTGATTTGTTTTGAATGATGTATTTAAAGTTTTCTGCAAAATCAACTCCTATGACAGCTTGGTTAGAATTTGTATACATATATCAATCATTTGACAATTTAGTTTAGCTTGATTAATTTTTACATATGCGTAATCCAAAAAATCATAACAATTAAAACATATAACAATTCACTTATCAACCCAGACTTAGAGACTTTCTTGATATTACAATAAAACTTAGGATGATTCTTTTTTAATTCAGTTTTAACCCATTTTTGCTTGATTATTTAAACTCTCTATTTCATACTACAATATTTGAATGTTAAGTGCATCCATACAACATTCGCAATAGTTCATGAAACACTCAATAAGTGGATTCTCACATGTGAAGGTTAAGTGCATGTCATTGTCTGTCAACAAATAATCAAATATGGGATGTGACTTTTTTAAAGGTACTAATTTAAAATGCATATTTTCATGAATAGCACAAACACAAACGTTATGTGGTACTTTGGCGATTGATAAAACATTACATGGTTTTGAGTAAAAAAATTTGTTAATCCAATAACAATACTTGGATTCTGTTTGTTATACATTCCATAAACTTCCTTTATAGGTAGATCAAATGCAGCAGTTCTCTTCTTCTCTCTATACTTCTTTTGCCTTTCACTATTTTTTGTATTTCTAATTTTCCTTTGCTCATCATTGAGTGAAACTTTTAATCTCTGTCAATAAGTTATTGAATAACTTAAGGGTTTTGTTTTGCTCTGGATTCTGTTTCCTCCATTTTGCAGACTTTTCTTTTGGTGTCAAACAAAATTACTTTTTTTAATACTATTTATATATAACTTGAGCGACTAGATTATTAAACAATTAAAAAATAACACTCATGGCATAGCAATTTAATTTTTCAAAAGTAAATCTAATGCTTGCAAGTGCAATTTTCAAATTAATAAAAATTCTGTGGTAGTGTAATTCATTGTTATTGTTGCGTTATGTCAATAACATTGTTTTAATCCCGTTTTCAAAGTAGTTACTGACGTAACGCTAGTTTAAGTATAAAATTCAGAATCAATTTTTCTTTGATAGAAAAAATAATATTGTTTTAAATAATCAAGAATTACACTTTATTTTAAAAAAATTTTAAAAATTCAAAATTTTCGTGCATTTTTTTTCATCATTTTTGTCAATTATTTTTATGACAGCATGAAGGTGTCTTAAAGCTAAATTTTAAATTTATATTTATATTAATTATAGAACATATAAAGTATATATTATAATAATCCATAGGCATAAACAGACAAAGAAAGATTTTTTAAATCACGATTTTTTCAAAGTTGGAATGCACCATATCCTTTTTATTAAATCACAAAATTCATGTATTTTCCAGAATGTGCATTAACAGCATAAAAGACTGTGTGCCCTAACCAAACCAAACTCAGTTGATGTAACAGCACTCCATTACGAGTCAGGCTATAAGATAGTCGATGTAGCAGCACTTCCTTATAGCAGCCGGTTATAAGATAGTTGATGAAGCAACACTCCGTGCATGTTTTACAGTAAAAAAATAAAAATAAAAACATTCAGAATGCTTTTATTTTTTAAAAAATAAAATAAAAACATTCAGAATATTTTAAAAACATTCTAGTCTTTTAATTTGCGTTTTTGAGGTTTTTTAAAGGTCTTTTAACTTGCATTTTGTTATAATCTAACCTTAATTTTGTCAGTTTAAAAACCATAGACAAGCTATGAGTTGTTTTTGACCACAAACTGTATATTTAAGCTCTTCACTATAGAACACACACACACACGCATATATATATATATATATATATATATATATATATATATATATATATATATATATATATATATATATATATATATATATATATAGGCCTTGTTAAATAGTTTTATGCCATTTAAACTTATGTACAAAATGGCAATTTCACCATGCATTAAACCATTTATGTTACGGCAGTTTTTTAATAGTAATCAAAAATTATTTAAACAGTCTTTTAAAAAAGTTTATGCGGAAAACATTAAATTAATTTTGTAAAAATATTAAGCAGTAACTAATTGTTTTTCATTAATTTTTTTTTTAACAAATTTTTTTTTAATTTTTTTAAAAAAAAAAAAAAAACAGATAGTAGAATTAACTTTTTTCTCCCTTTTGCTTTTAAAAACTTTTTAATTTAAATTTATTTTATTTTGTTTAAATTTAATTTATTATTAAATATTAATAAGTTTAAATTCATTTCATTAAATAGGGTAAAATTTTACTTTTGTCACATAAATATCGAATAAATTAAAACTAAGGATTCTGGAATCAAAAGGCAGAAAAAAACTGTATAACAACAACAATACAAGTTATTCAGTTTGCAATACAAAATCTTAATAAACTAAACAAGGATTCAAATGGTTACTTGAATCCTTGTTTAGTATTTGTGAATTTTTAAGAACTGATTGCAATGAAAGTTTTCATTTTGATCATTAGTTTAAACTTAACATTTTTAAGCCTGATTACTTCAAGTTTTTATTTTTATCAATAAAGTGAAAAGACAATAAGTGAAATTTAATAAACAAATTTAATGACTCTTAATATGCTTAGGGTGGTCAATTTTCCATAAGTTAACTAACTACCCCTCCTTCGTGTTATGCACCAGAGAGTAAATGTTTAAACAAAAAAAAATTGACAAGGTCAGAAAATTATTAACCAGCTCTCTAAACATTAACTGTTAAAATGATATTTTTAAAATAAAAATATTAAAAATACATTAGGTTAATAAATTGAAATTAATATGTTTTTTTTAGTTGATAACCAAATAAAATTAGTACATATTTACAAAAATGTTTATGAATAAGTTTTAATCCATAACTTTTAAGCCTAAATTTCAACTCTGAAAATTTTGTACAAAATAAAGATATGTATATGTATATATACATATATATATATATATATATATATATATATATATATATATATATATATATATATATATATATATATATATATATATATATATATATAGCAATAATAAAAGCAATTTTTTGGTAGATAGCTCAATGCAAAAGTAGGGCAAATTTATATTATATTAGAGTAATAATAAAATAACTACAATTAAAGTTGCGATCATCACTTATTACAAACAACATATCAATAATAAAATTATATATACAAAAATACAATACAGTGTTAGCTAGATGACGTTAAAGTTGCAGATTACAAATTTGTTATGGTGGTATGTTATTATTTTGAAAATAGTTATGGACGGGACAAAATTAATTGTGGAAAAAACAAAAATAATTATGGATCCGACAAAAATAATTGTGGACAATACTGTAATATTTAAGAATTTTATTCTCTTTTATTATGATATTAGTTCATTTTGTTTGTTCAATAGTTTCAAAGATGACTAAATGATATGGTATTTTTTGGTTAAACAAAGGTACTCAACTTAGCCTTAGGTTTAAATGGTTCCATCTTAATAACCTTCCATGTAAGAAAAGGATTTGAAAATCCCTTTTTTTTATTTCCAAGATATACTTTCATATAGAAAGAAGTTTTTATGTTTGTACCAGCTAACACTGTATTGTATTTTCATATATAATTTTGTTGTTGTTATGTTTATTAGTAACATCTGATAATTGCATAAAGTGTGAAACTCCAAGTTTTGTTTTAAATTTAATTTAGTTATTCTATTATTTTTCTATTATATATGTATATATATTTATAGGTATATATATATATATATATATATATATATATATATATATATATATATATATATATATATATATATATATATATATATATATATATATATATATATATATAGTTAGTTATAAACTGCGTAAATCTTATCCACAGAGACATTAACTGAGACATTGTAACGTTCAGCTATAGCAGCCCAGTACTTTTTTTCTTTTTCTTCTAAATAAATATTTTCTCATTTTTCTTAAGCCATTCGTCCAAACTTGCTTTAAAACTATTCAAATTCGTGGAATCCACAACTATTTCCGAAGGTTTGTTCCAAATTTTGCACACTGTTTGTGAAGAAGTGGATTCTGGAGCTAACCAATGCATGAAAGTCATTTATTTCGCAAGGAGTAAAAAACACTGCATTCTGATTTTATGTTTGTGACCTCTAATGGAAGAACATGGGCCATCTAATTTAACGGTTGACTTGTAGACTGGTTTGATATTAAGATTGACAAATTCTAAATGGTTTAATATCTTGTATAAATGAATAAGGTCTCCTCGTTTTCTTCTGAGAAATAAAGTAGTTAAATCCATTTTAACTAGCCATTTCTCATAACTTTGCATTCGGTTTGAGTATGGTATTTTCGTGGTCCTGCGTTCAACTCTTTCAAGCATTAAGATTTCTGCCACATTCAGAGGACTCCAGGCTGGAGCCGCAAATTCAAGATGAGGTCGCACATAAGTAGTATACAAAATTTTCCACATATAATCATCTCTACTTTCAAAGGCATTTTTCAATAAACCCAGTATTTTTGAAGCTTTGTTAACACATACTTATGTTTGATGTTTCCAACTCATATCTGGTTGTACAAAAACACCTAGATCTCTTTCTAATACACTGTTGGAGAGGTCATAAATCATTCCATTTATATTGATTGTATATGTTTTATCAATGCCTCGAAGAACTTTCTGATTGCCGAATCTCATCACCTTACATTTTTTGCAGTTTAGTTCCATACCCCAATTGTTGCACCAATTCACAATGTTATTAAGGTCGGTTTGCATTTCTGCTTGTTTATCAATGGAATCTTCTATGGCTATTATTTTGCTATCATCAGCATACATTTTAAATGTGTTTAGCACAACTTCTGGCAGGTTGTTTATGAATAGCAGAAACAGTATTGGACCCAAAACGGAACTCTGAGGCACGAAATTATTCATATTGAAAATATGAATAATTGGGTCCACAAAACCTTCTGCAGCATGCTTTAAAACAAACGGACTTATTTTATCAAAACCCATCGCTTTTGACTCATCTATACCTTCTAACATTTTTAGAATTTTTTCATAGGTAATCATATTAGATAATTTACTACAATCGCACTGGTTTTCACATCTTTGCAAGAACTTGGGTATTGCTTGTTCATTATCATTAACAAAGACTGACTGAAATTGCTTTTTTAATTTATCTGAAATATCTGATATTTTAGTTTTAACTTGATCTTTTTTATTCTTGATTGCTCTAATTTGCGATTTAACGTTTTGTTTTCTAATTATCTTTGAGAATAAAAGTTTTGGTGTAAGCTTTGCTCTCTACTAAATCCATTTCGTATTCTCGAGTTAATCTTTTGAAAAATATCGTAATCTAATTTAAAGTTTTTTAAAAAAAAAAAAACGATGATCAACAAAATATTTATTTTAAATTATTTTTTTTTGAGAATTATATTAAAAATTAGGGTTGAAAATTTCCTGGAAATTTTAAAGTCAGGAAAATTTCCGGAAAATTTCCGGAAATTTTCAAATACTTGAAAAAAAAAAAATTTCAGGGCTTCTCTGATTATTTTTATATGTTTACCATAATTTTACTGTTTTAATAAAGAAGGTTTATATAAATAAACTAATAAATTTCAGAAATAAATACCTAGGTATTCACTAATAATATTAGTAAGTAGTTCTAAAGTAAATCTAATGGTAATAATGGTAAAAATAATAATTACAACAACAATTATTATAACAATGGTGATGATGATGATGATGATGATGATGATGATGATGATGATGATGATGATGATGATGATGACGATGATGATGATTATAAAAATATGATTATAAATTAAAATACTAACAGCTTTTTTAAATAAAATAGATAAGTAAATAACTTATTTACTTGTTTATTTTATACAATATTATGAATTGGTAAAAGTGCAATATTATTAATTTTTTGGTGTATAACTTTATTGTATTTTAAGTAGTATTAAAACTTTATAATATTATAGATGCATAACTTTATAGTATCTGAAATGATTGCTACACAAACATTCCTTTTTGACATTTTTTAATGATTTATATAAAGCTGTCAACCTAAACCAAAGAATAGGTGATACAAGAGAAACAACAAATAACTTGCCATTATATATGTTATATAATTAAATAAGTTTTTTACTCTTTTTGAAATAATAACAATAAAAACATTACAAAAATACTTTATAGGTATATTAGTACTATAGCTATAATGATAATAATAAATTAGTGTTGAATATAAATTATTTATTAGATTTGCAGTCGGTATGAACTGCTTTTCTAAACTAAGTATACATTTTAAATTATTCTCATTTATTTTTGTACTGTAAAAATTTTTTTTGCAACAATTATGCCTAGAGAATTAGATCAAGTCTGGAATGGTCACTTTAAAAAAAAATATGTCAATATGGGAAAACAGCATTTATTTGCACATATTGCAATGCAAAATTTTGCACACAAAACTCTACACGAGCTAAAAAACATTTAGTTACAGATTGTACTAAATCTCCAAAAGCTGTAAAAAAAAAGTTTGCAACATATGTTATGAAACAAAGTTTTGCTCCTAAAACAAAAAAAAGAATATTATTAGTTAAATCTTTAATTGAACTCAACACAAATACAACAAATAATGCAGGTGTGTCAGATTTAATAATAGAAAATGATTGTTTTATTGATTGCTGTGACAACAATTATGCCATCTTTAAGAGAAAGTCAGGAACCAGTTCCACAATGAATGTGGCTAAAAACGAATTACATTCTGATTTACAAGAATGTAGTAGATTGAAAATAGAAGAAAAAAAGGCTTTCTGTTCAACTTCTATATATACTAGCAATCAAAAATCAATATCATATTTTTTTGATAAAGTTTCAACACAAGAGTGTGATGAAATAAATATACAATATGCAAGAGCAATTTATGCAACAGCCAGCCCTTTCAGAATGTCGGAAAATCCATTCTGGACTAATTTTTTTAAAAAGATTCGACCAGGTTGGTCATCTCCCAATCGTTATGCCCTGAGTCATAATCTTTTAGACACAGTATATAACCAAGTAAATAAATTCATACAAGATCTAATATCCCAGTCAGAAACTTTTGTTCTGATGACAGATGGTTGGTCTTGTATAAGTAATGATTCACATATACAGATTATGTTAGCTACTCCAACTCCAATATACATCAGAAGTATTCATCCAAAAGAAAACTCCAACACTGGACAATACATATTCAATCAAATTCTTGAGATTATTGAAGATAAAAATGTTATATCAAACAAAAGAAAAATAAAAGCTTTTTGCACTGACAATGCAGCTAACATGGTAGCAGTTTGGAAATTAATAGAAAATAAATATGATTGGATGTCAGCATACGGCTGTTTTTCTCATGGCCTAAATTTATTAGCTTGTGATCTTGCAAATAAGAACAAAATAATTTCGGAAACACTGAAGCAAAATAAACAACTAGTTAAGTTTTTTAAAAGTAAGCACAGTCTAAAAAGGATTGTTGAGCGTTGTAGCCTACACTCCTTGAATAAAAGTTTTATTTTAATTCTTCCTGTAGTAACAAGATGGTCATCACAATTTTATATGTTACAACGCAATATTCTACTCCGTGATTCATTGCGACTGGCAGTAACTGATGAAAAAGCACAAAAGTATCTTGACAAACATAATAATAAATAAGGAATTGACTTAAAGGAATTAGTATTGAATGAAACCTTTTGGAAAAAGACAGATTTAATTTTCAAACTACTGAAACCTATATCAGAAGCCATTTTGGAATCAGAGAGTGATGCAGCGTCAGTATCTATTGTTCCACAAATCTTTTTTTATGTAATAACTGAGATATCTGATGTGTTGCAAAACTCAACACTTTTGACTTTACATCAAAAAGAGGATATCATTACTAGCATTAAAAAGCGTGAAGACTTTGTTGTAAGACCGATACACTTTGCAGCAAATTTACTTGATCCAAGGTTTGTTGGTCTAAATCATTCAGAAATGCTTTTAGCTGAGCAGCATGTATTCAGAACAGCTGAAAATGAAAATAAGCCACTGATATAATATTGGATGAATTAATGAGTTTCAAAGCTCGTAGTGGAATATTTAGCCAGGATAATCGCAGCTATATTTGGAAGCTTAATGAAGATTGTATTCCAGTCACATGGTGGAACGCATATGCACCAACAACATTATTGAATAGAATTGCATTAATATTATTGTCTTGTAACTGCAGCATTGCATCTGTTGAGCGTGCAAACAAAGAGTTTTCATTGCAAAAATCTAAAGTAAGAAATCGCCTAACCGATACAAGAGCATCAAAGCTTTTATTTATTGCTTATAATTTGAAAATGCAGAATAAATTGGCTAAACGTAATTCTAAAAGGATAAAACATTCATGTTTAAAAAAAAAAACATTGATGAAAAAAGCCAAAAAAATCACAGCTGCTTATCAATCGATAATGATGATGATGATGATGATTATGATGATAACGAATACAATAGTGAGTATTCAAGTGAAGATAGTATTGACTTTCACATACCATGAAAATGGCTAAGCATTAACGTTTGCAAAAACATGCTATTTTTTTATAATAGTCTAGTTGGGGAGTTTAAATAAAATATATATATAAAATTATTTTTTATTTTTATTTATTAGTTAAAAACCCACTATACAAGTAAGCTAAATTAAAGTTTAGTTCAGGATAAATGAAAAATCTTAAATTTTTTTTTTTTTTTTAATCAAGATTTTCATTCAAACATGATCATCTAGGAATTTTTTTTTTCAAGAATGTCCTTGAAGATTGTTTTTTTGTTCCTTTGAGTTCCAGAACTCAACTGCTCATTTTAGAGTTTGAAGATCCGTTTCAGGAATTACATCTATTAAGTCAATGATTTTTTTTTTTACTTTGCATTATTTTCTCTAGATTTAGTTCATGACTATTGCACAAACCTTTGACACTACCTAAAAAAGGTTCTGAAGCTGTTTTGTTTTTCAGCTGCTACTTTACAATATTAAATGTCATTTTATTGCTCTTCAGGTGAATAAATAAGTTTAGCTTGTTTTGTTGTGTAATTATTGATACATACTCAATAAAAAAAAAGGGATGAATAAAATTTATGCAATGTTTTAAAACGTTAAGGAGTGACTTCAGTGCATTTCTTCCAACTATATCAAGCTTTTGCATTAATATTTTTTTATGTTCACAAAGCTTAGACCATAAGGTAGTGGAACAACCAAAGTTTTATATAACTGGACAAAAGAATTTGGGTGAACAAAACGGATTCCAGATTGAATTAAAGTTTGGATTACTGCCCGGATTTTAGGAAAGGTGTCCCATATAAAGCCTAGATGACTTAATTTATCGTGAAGTTTTATTTGTTCGATATTGTGCTGTTTTTAATTTGCTTTTTTCCGGTAAGTATGAACTCGGTTTTGTCAGCATTCAATTTTATGCAGTTTTTGTGTATATATTACAGGTATTAATAAGCTTTTATAAAAAAATTCCAACCCTATTAAATACTTAAAGAAAGATGTATATATATAAAAAAAGATGTTGTGCCTATAGAGGTAGCATGTTTTTAATAAATTTCTTTTTTTATTAGATTTTAAACGACTTAGAAATTTTAAATAAACTTAAAATTTAAATTTTCTCTAAAACATCTTGTGGTTTTTAGTTTTTGTGTATTTAAGCAAAAAAAAAAAATTCCAGAAAATTTCCGGAAATTTTCCGGAAATTTTCTGGAAATTCCGTTAGATTTTAAAAATTATTTGAATAAATTTTTAAAAAAATTGAGGTTTTTCCATAAATATTTTAACTGGTACTAATGCAATTTTTGATTGTTATTGCTCATATAAAATACAATGGAGTGTGTAGTTTACTGGAACTCCATCTTTTGTAACATTTTATAAAACGTCGTTCAAAAGATGTCAGTAGGTTTCATCGTCATTTTTAGTTTATGACAGACAAGTAGGAAAAAAATTTAAGTGTTTAAATCTCTATAACCTGTTCTTCTTCTTCGTTGTCAAAACTTAACTGCTCTTCTTCTACTGTAGGTGTATCTTCTACAGTTAGGGCGTCAAAAGATGGTCTTAAGAAACGAGTAAGAGAGTCACCTTTGTTTGAGGCAGGGCTTTCTTGTTTTTTAGAAGGAGGAGATAATGTCCTACAAAGATTTTCAGGGGGAGTTGGTAACATTTTTTGTGTATCGCTAAGTTCATATAATTTTTCTGTAGATGAAGAATTTAATTTCTCATTTTTATTTCCATTAGATTTTAATTTATCACCACATTGTTTCGTTTCTTTATTATTACACCCTTTATCAATATCTTCTTTTCCATTTTCAAGAAGTGCAATGTTTAAAGATAGCTAAAAACCAATAAACAGTTAAAAAACAACTCAACAAAAAAGATATATATAAAAGTTTTGATAAAATACCAATATAAAATTAAAAACCTTAAAATTCTCAGGAAAAAATTTGTGTTTTTTGTCTTTATTTGCTTTATCAAGCTCATTTTTACTGAATAAGATGCGTTTTACGTTGTCATTTTTATTGGTTGTAACAGGGCGAGTGGATGTTATGTCATACTCCAAACAAGTAGTATTAAACCCAAAAAGAAACATGCATTCCTACAATAAAAACAAATATGTGCTCCTACAATATATTAAAAACAAACATGCGTTGGAAAAAAATTTAAATGTTTAAATCTCCGTAACCTGTTCTTCTTCTTCTTCTTCGTCGTCATCACTTAATTGCTCTTCTTCTTCATCATTGTCATCATCGTCATCACTTAATTGCTCTTCTTCTTCATCATTGTCATCGTCGTCATCACTTAATTGCTCTTCTTCTTCATCATCATCATAACTTAATTGCTCTTCTTCTACTGTAGGTGTATCTTCTACAGTCAGGGCGTCTAAAGATGGTCTTAAGGAACAATTAAAAGAGTCACCTTTGTTTGAGGCAGGGCTTTCTCGTTTTTTAGAAGGCGGAGATAATGACCTACAAAAATTTTCTCGGGAAGTTGGTATCATTTTTCGTGTATCGCTAAGTTCATATAATTTATCTGTAGATGAAGAATTTAATTTCTCATTTTTATTTCCATTAGATTTTAACTTATCATCACATTGTTTCCTTTCATTATTATAACACCCTTTATCGATATCTTCTTTTTCGTTTTCAGGAAGTACAATGTTTAAAGACAGCTAAAAATCAATGAACAGTTAAAAAACAACTCAACAAAAAAGATATAAAAGTTTTGATAAAATACCAATATAAAATTAAAAACCTTAAAATTTTCAGGAAAAAATTTGTGTTTTTTGTCTTTATTTGCTTTATCAAGCTCATTTTTACTGAATAAGATGCATTTTATGTTGTCATTTTTATTATATGTAACTGGGTGAGTGGACGTTATGTCGTACTCCAAAAAAGTAGTATTAAACCAAAAAACAAACATGCGTTCCTAAAATAAAAATAAACAGGCATTCCTACAATATATCAAAAACAAACATGCTTTCCTACAATCACGAACACAATACGAAAAAAAAAAATAAATAAATAAATAATAATATAGAAAAATTTGTTTATCAACAATAAAATATAAACACCTTTTTAAATAAATCTGTGTGAAAGAAATCTACTTTAATATCGCCACAAAGTGGAAGTGGATTTTTCAAATGCATTGTATATTCTTGCTCGGATTTCTTTATCTACAATATGATGCTCAAAAAGTGATGCAAAAAAAAAATACATCAAAAGTGATAAAAAAAACAATGTTGTTTAAAGTATATTTTAACGAAACTCATTACAAGTGTCGTAACTTATTATTTAACTTTTAAAATTATTTTAAAGATTTTTGCAATTTTACAATTTTTTACACTTTGCAATTTTACAATTTTTTGCAACTATTTAAATGGATATATTATTCATTTAAAATAAATACTTTTGTAGTCAGCTAAAGACATTTTTTTTTAATGCGTGATGCGGTATTGTTACCATAATTATATCAATAATATTGGTGTTGTTACATCCAACTGTAATTACTTAAAAACAGTAAATGTTGTAAACTAAATAATGAAACAAACAAAGCTGTGTTTATTAAAAAAAAACAAAAAACATATTAGATCAGTATTTCTAAAAAATTGACCGTCTCGCTTATTTTACCTAACACCAAATATGTAATTTAAAAAAAAAAAATCATATTTGATATTAGAATAAGAGTGACAAGCACTCCAAAAGTCTAGGCCGTTAAAATAAGGATAACAATAAATTAAAATAAGTTACTAAAAAAGCTAAATTTTAGAATTTAGAAGTTACCTGAATAATAGGGCCTTTGGGAGGGTGGGGTAACAGGGGGAAATTGATCCGGGCGCCAAGCTTGAGAGGGCACCGAATGTCTCATTTTTTTTTTTAATAACTAGAAAATATTTTAATGACTGACAATTTGAAATCTGCTTAGTTTTTTTATTTGAGTTTGAAACTATAGTATTCGAAATAAAAATGCACATGAAAAAAAATTTTTACTTTGAAATTCTATTATTATATTTAATGTAAACTATTTTTTACAAAAAATTGGATTTAGCTGTAGTTGAATTAGACGGAACCGGGCGTATTCTGTAAGCCCATAAACAGTTAGCCATGCTAACTTGTGCTCGATTGCACGGAAGATGCTGCGCTGTGATAATTATAAAAGTAACTAATCAAATTTTACTTTGAAGTAGTTGACACTAATATCACTGAAAACTTTGTTGTGTAGTTCGTTTCATAGGTGAGCAACGTGGTTGTTGAAGAATTTGAAGCATACAAGACATTTGTTGATGATTCCACGATAAAAGTGCTCCTTTTTCAAGTAGTATTTGAGTGTTGAAGCAAAGGAGAGAATCATAGCGTCGCAATTTTTATGCATATAAGCCGCCTTGCCTCTACCAGGACCCGGCCAGTTATCAAGTACTTGTGTTTTTGGATTGGTTTTAAAGTAGACAAAATGTCTACTTTAAACATAGTAAGAAAAAAAACATTTTTTTGCTCAAACCCTTGGTGGAAATGTTGCTAATTTTTTTCCTAAAGGATCTTTACAATAATGATTATGACTATGAGGGTCAAAAGAAAGCTCTCCTTCTCTTTTAAGATCACCTGCTGCACTCAATATGTGTGATTTGAAGGACTGTGGATCAGTAAGAGAGACGAACAATTCACCTGAAATTGAGCTAAATGAATTTCAAAGTAACTTATCAGAGTCAGAATAAGGAACTTTATCCAAAAGGGGAAAATGAAGGACATTTTTCAAACTAGTAAAGTTTTTTATCTTTTTGTTTGACAGAATTTGATATTTGAATTATTAATGATAATACTTATTGAAAGTTTAACAACATGTGTTGATAATTTTAGAAAACTTTAAAGAAGTCAGTAGCTTTATGTTTGAAAAACTTTGTTTCAAGTACACCCTTAACTGAAAATAAAAGTTTGTTCTATAAAGTAACTCAAAAAATTACTTTGTTATATTTAAACTTTAGGTTTCAATTTACTATATACTATACAAAAAACATCATTTAGAAATGATATATAAAGTACAAAGGTTTTATATGAAGTACAACAAAAAAATAGATTTTATATAAAGTTTTCAGAAAACACTGATGTTTAAAATACAACAAAGACATCAATTTTTATATGAAGTTTACAGAAAAAATTGATAAACAACATTACAAAAAAATATAAAAAAAAAAAAAAAAAAAAAAAAAGACCAATAAGTTACCTCAAAAGTTTTGGATTTATAAAGCTCAAACTCTCCCAAAAAAACAACAAAACTTGGAACTAAATAAAAATAAGAAAAAGAAAAATTGAAAAAAAATCAGAGAAAGATATTTACGCTAATAAAACTTCCTTAAAGCATCAATAATCAGCAGTCATAAAACAATAGGAAATATCGAGGGTGAGGTGTTTTACCATCTTAAAGCATTATTCCTCAGATAACTGCTTATATTGAATCATTCCACATTACTTATGTTGTTGTTATTGTTTATAATAAAAGAAACCAAAATATAATAGAAGTAGAGAAAAGTAATTTTAGAATTATTATTTTTTATAAATCAATTTTTTTTTAACTTGTTTAAATTTACATAATATTTTTTCTCACATATAAGTGTAAATGGAATAGTCTTTTTCTATGAGGACATTTTGTATTTAATTAATTTTTGAATTAAAATCTGTTTTCAAATTGAAAAAATTACTGTTTTTAAAAAGTTATTTAAAAAACAGCAACTTTTTCAAAATACGATAAAATCTCATTAAGTCGAACACTGATTAACTCTTTGTTTAATTCAAACCTTTACACATTGATAAGTGGCGGATTAAGATTTCTTTTTGAGCTCGGATCTATTTTTGTTTTTGGAGGCCTTTTTATGGGCCAGAGCCTAAAAATGACTTAAAAAAAAGAAAAAGAGAGGGCCCCTGAATTTGTGGGGCCCAGGGCTATAACCCCCTTCCTTGATCCGGCACTGATAAGTCAAACAATTTTTTTTTCCCTTTCAAAAAATTTCTTTAGATAACTCACACTATTTTTATGGAAAATTAAATCAATAAAAATAAATCTTTAAGAAGTATATAAAATAACAATAAGCTACCAACTGCTTTATTTGTATTATTAAATTTCAATATAAATAAAACAGTCTATTTTCAGATATAAAACAATGAAAAAAGAAAGCTTTTATGTTACAAAATGTTACAAAATAAATTACATTAAAATAAAAAAATTAAGAATTTTTGAATTTAAAAAAAAAAAAGCCTTCCAAATGTTAGGGCAGTTTTTAAAACCTAGTAATAAGATAATAAATCATTGTATTTTTTTTTTACTCAATATTAAAACTTGTATTTATTGACTGCATAATATTTATATACAACTGTATATTTATTTCTATACTTTAAACTTGGGTTTATTTGTTCAAAAAGTACTGATTTTAGCGTCTTGTTGTGTTTATAATAAAATTTTATTTAACAGCATTTATTAAATTAACGGTGTAGTTAAGTATTTTGTGGTTTTCTATCAATAAATAATAATTCTTGTTATTTATTATTACCACTTATATTTCATGCTATTTTTTATTATTTTTGTTAAAATTTTCATTTATATTTTAATCTATGTATTTATCTCATTATTACCACGCTCAACTTGTTTCTCTACTCAACATATTTCTCCACACAGCAACTTTGTTTGTCAAAGTTTGTGTTTTGGAGTTATAAAGTTGAGAGAGGGTTATAACCACAATTATAGTAGCCTCCTTGACTGTAGTGGCCTTTTTTGCCTAGGGGAGGTGAATTAACATTAAAAAAAATTATAAACTTTGATGGTGTTATGGTTTTTACTCAATAGTAGTACTTAACAAAGGTTTAATAATACTCACTAGTACTTAACAAAAGTTTCATAATACTCACTAGTACTTAACAAAAGTTTCATAATACTCACTAGTACTTAACAAAGGTTTTATAATAATCACTAGTGCTCACCACAAGTTCCATAATTGAATGTAGGAATTCCAATAAATGTGAATGATTTGAGAAAAACAGTTTTTCTATCAAAACCAATACCCGGTTTATTTCTAAATAAAGGATTTGTAAATTACTTTTGTTTTATTTGAAAGTAAGTTATTAAATCATCAAAACATTTGTTAAATTAAAAAATAAGTTATTGCAGTAATGTCTAAAAAATTTAATTTTGAATATTATTTTTTTAAATTTTTATATAAATAATAATATTAAAAAATATTAATACTGTTCAAGAGTTTAGTGTAACAAGTATTATTTTTTAAAATAATAAAATAAATTAATTATAAACTAATTTTACCTAAAAAGCAATTTTTTTAACATTTTTTAAGTAAATTTTTAAAACTCAGTGTAATTTTTCTATAAAGAACACATTTAAGGAAAATTGTAGATGTTTTTAAAGATGCTCTTTACTAACAAGTTCATGCAAAACAAGCAATAATAATTAACTTTTAATAAAATTAACAATAAAAATTAACTTTTCATTCTTTAAACATTTTTTTTTTTACACATTTTCACTTCCAACAAGGCTGCAAGCAACCACTAATTAGTGTTGGAATTTACTGGAAGAAAGAATATAAAGTTTATAGAGAAAGATAATGATTGACAGATGACTTCAAAGATTGCAAATTATATGAATCAGGAATGCAGGATGAAGCAAGCGAATTCCAAACTCAAGGAAAAAACTAGAGGAATAAGAGTTTTTGGAGCACTTAGGAAAAGTCACAGAAAAAAGATGAGACTTGGTTGAATGGCGAGTAACACAAGAATGAATTTTAGTAGATGGCATAAGAGACACTAGCTCTTAACAGCAGTATCAATTGAAGCATTGTTGGAAAAGAGAAAGAGAAATAACATTACGATGATGTGATAATGGTTGGAGGTTGGCGGCAAGAGCAGGTCCAACTATGTTTACAATGCGTTTTTGCACCTTGCTTAAAAGAGAAAGAGCATAATTGGACGATCCACTTCAGATGTGGCAACAGTATTCCATACAATAATGGATTTAGGATTTATAGAAATAAAGAATAGAATATGGAGTAAGAGAGTGTCGAACACGAAAAAAAAACCAAAATATAATAGAAGTAGAGAAAAGTAATTTTAGAATTATTATTTTTTATAAATCAATTTTTTTTTAACTTGTTTAAATTTACATAATGTTTAAAGAGATGCAACCTTAGCAGATACTAATTTTGCAATTGATTTGATATATGGTTTCCATAAAGATCGGAAGTAAGAGTTAATCCTAGAAGATGAAGGGTGATGACTCATTGAGTACATTACCGCTCATAAATATTGGAAGATCTGCATTATTGCAATAATTATTTGCTGAAAAAAATTTTTTTTTTTTTTAATTAAAGTTCACCAGCCACTGTGGGTTCCATGCTGTAGCAGAAGTGAGATCCTTTTCAAGCTCAAATGCCCCCTCCGAGCAAATAGAGAGTGTTGGCTTTTTATCATGACAAGAACAAATGGTAGTATCATCAGCAAACAATGCCACCTCAGAAGTGAGAATATCTGGAAGATTGTTAATGTAAATTAAAAAGAGTATAGAACCAAGTATTGAGCCTTGAGGAACCCTGAAGTTACAGAATATGAAGAAGAGTGCTATTCATTGAGGACAACTTTTATACCACGATTGGAAAGGAAGGATTCAATGATCTTAAAGGTGTTACCAGATAAACCATAAGAAGAAAGCTTATGGGGAAGGCCAGCATGCCAAACTTTATCAAAAGCTTTGGCAATGTCAAGAGCGATAGCCTTAACCTTTCCAACTTTTTCTAATGCACTATAAAACCTATTGGTTATTACTGTTAGCAAATCAACTGTTGAGTGAGAAGATCGAAATCCATATTGATGATCAGAAAGTAAGTTATTAGATTCAAGATGAAAGATTAAGTGTTTATTTATTAAAGATTCAAAAACCTTGCTTATGATAGGAAGATGACTAATGGGACAGTGGTTGGATGAGTCAGATCGCTCTCCAGAAGTTTTGAAAATAGGGATAACAGAAGCTGCTTTCCAGCATGCCAGAAAACAAGACTCTGATAAGCACTTGTTAATTAGTTTTGAAAGTATAGACACTTCTGCAAGACTATAGCAGGTATGTTGTCGAGACTACAAGCTGCAGAAGAGTCTAAGCAAGAAATCCCTTAAGATACAGAAGCTAGAGTGATACAAATGTTAAACAATAGATCAACCTGTTTGTCGCTATATCAAGTAGAACGCAACTAATGGAATCAAGAGATGATACTGATGAAAAGTTTTTAACAAACAATTCAGCTTTGCTTTTAGGTGAGGTGAAAAAATTTGAACCATACAAGAGAGGTGGAATAACAGATTTGCACTTATTATTGATACTGTTATAGATTTTCCAGATGTCACAAGAACTTAATTTTTGAGATGAAATACAAGATTTCATGATCAGAAAAAATGGGACTTTGGCATTAGACAAAACCTTTATACGATGGTTTCTAGCAATAGTAAACAAACATCTGTTTTCAGGAGAACGGTTTTGTTGGTAAATATGGAAGTAATGGTTTTGATTGGAAATTGCAGCAGCACAATGTAAAGAAAATCATGTTGAAGAGTGAGGCTTGACTTGGAATCGTCAAGAGAGGGAATAAAAGTTTCCATGCTAGCCTGAATCCACAAAGTTATGTAAGAAGCACATTTATCAGCAGAAAGATGAAAGATTTTTACCAACGGGTCATCAAGACGAAAATCACGGAAAGATTTTCAGTCAGCTTTAAGGTAGTTGTATGGTGCAATGATAGAAGGATTCTGATAATGAAGAAGAATGAGAAATTAGTTTTAGAGAGATTAAACCCTGATCAGAAGTACCTAAGGGTGAATGTGGAGAAACTAAGCAATGACTAGGATCAGAAACAAGACATAAGTTAAGTAGAGAAGGATAAATGATTTGGGTTGCCTGGAAAGCGAGTTGGAAAGTTGACTATTTGAGTTAAAGATTGAAAAAGACAAAAGTTGTGGGTCTTAACGCCTGCAGATTCACTGCTTGGTCAATTTGATTAGAAATAACATTGAAAATAGTACAGTCTTGAGATGAAAGAGAGTAATATAGAAGAAAGAGAAAGACGATAGAGTGAAGTGGTACTAAATGAAAGCACAGAAAAAAAATAGTCTGTGGATTCAAACTTAGTTTCCCAACAAATGGGTAAATACTTACGAATGTAAATCCCTACGTTAAGTATGTGACTATTGGAGTCTTTACGAATTGAAGATAACCATCAACACTAAGATCACAAAATAAGACAGCCAAATTCAAATTAGTCTCACAAAGAGCAAGTAGGTCTGATGAACTTTGCAAGAGTAAACTCAACAAAAGAAAAGTTACTTTCAAGGCCATGAATATTAGTGAATGATAGGTTTAGAGAACTTGGTGATGACAATGGTTTTTTGTGTTTTAAAGTTTTTGGTACTTTAGCCATTTTTAAATTTATTAAAGAACTTGACTCAAAGTATAGATAGTACGCAGAACACTATTTAAAAGTCCAAGCATTTGCCTCATTACGACTAATAAACTCTAAGCCAGTTTCAAAGGGCTCCAAATGTGGCTTCGACAATGCACACTAAAAGTACAAACAGGGACATCATTCATGGGCAATATGTCACTGTTAGTACTCTGATATTTTAAAGCTGTTGATGAAATCAACCTCTCTGAGAGCTACCATAGGAGGTCTTGTACAAGACAGTAGACAGATGCATTTAACATCTCCCAAAGATGAGTCAAGATACCATCTCTAGCCTTTACTCAACCAAGAGCTCCAAGACAGGGGGTTTTTTAAGTCGGAGTTGGCTTTTTTAAGCATTTGCTTAAAAAAAGCGTATCCTACAAGGCAGCAGGACATGGATCAGGTTGTACTTGGTTACATGTTACCAGTAGCAGGATAACTTGACAAGTCAAGTCTCAAGTCACTGAGGTCAAGTCTCAAGTCAAGTCTCAAGTCATATAGTAACATGTCAAGTCAAGTCTCAAGTCAAGTCAACAATAAAAGATTCGCGTGCATGTGGTGGCTATCAGTGACGCGGCTAGGAGTTCGGAGGCCCCTTCCGAAACCTGTCATAAAAACCACAAAATTCCTTTTACAAGAGGGGCGTGGGGGAACCTTGCGATGGTTCTGGTAGCTACATTCAAACAGTCCCCTTACAATTATAAAATACAGCATGATAATAGTTATAATTTTACTTTATTTACTTAAGTAGCTTAAAAAGTTAAATAAACCATCTGTAATAAAATAGCTAAGGAGTCATAATACACAATACAATGACATAACACTTCATAAGCTATTTAGCCAATTTACTAATGTTTTTATTCTATCATTCTTTTGAAAAAAAGATTACAAATGGTGATTTTCATAAAAAATTATATTAATATATCCGTGTTACATTTTAAAAACACTAACTGATAATTTTGAAAGTAAAAATAAGAGAAAAATGAAGATTGTTAAGGAAAGAAAAAGAAAGAATTAAAAAAAATTTAAATAAGAAATTAAAATCACCGAACATTTATAAACAATAAATTTCATGAGTTAAAAAAAAAATGAACCAATCAGAATGCACACAAAACAGTTGGAATTTTTTGAAAACGAAAGAGATTAAATGCGATATTTTTCTTCGGATCTCGCTTAGGCTACAAACCAGTTAAACGAAAGTTAAAATAAAAACATTCGAAAATAAAAAATAATTAAAAAACAGTTGAATTAAAATAGCAGATAAATTGCTCCATTTTTGAAGAGACGGAAATAATAATTTTAAAGTCGCTAAGCCGAAATTAGCAAGTCTCGAGTCAAGTCGCAAGTCTCAGGGTAAAACCCAAGTCGAGTCTCGAGTCGAGTCACTGGTGAGACTTAAGTCGGACTCCAGTTCGAGTCAATTGACTCGAGTCTCCAGCTCTGATATATGGAGAACCAAAAGTTTTATTTAACAATTTAGCACATTCTTTTGAATTATATTTTGCGTTTATCTTTATCGTCTTATATTTTCTAATATTGTTTTTATTGCTATTAAAGTACTTTATTTTAGACTTTGATGT